ATGTATTAGAATATTAGAAATTATGCGTGAAAAATTCCTTATGAAAACAACAAGTTGAACTATTTTATAAACCTTACTTCTCTGTAAATATCATTTTTGCTAATGGTCCATTGGTTCAAATGTTGGACACAGTTTTTTATTACGTCTTAAACTTTTGGCAGAGATCTTACGATTCATACAACCTTAACAATAGTTCACCGATGGTACTAGTAATATTTACTGCAGAAATCAATGAGTGTTCCGTGGAGATTATGGCTGCTAGCCAATATTTCTTGTTCAGATACTCATTTTGGATTCAATTCATATTTCACGTCCATGAATATTCTTTAAATTTAATAAAAGTAGCAGGTTTTGCTATCAATCATGCATTTATTTTTTTTTGCGATTTACAATGCGATTAAAATTTTATACTGACAATTATGCCAGTTCTAATCTATCAATTAATAATTATGTAAAAAGATCAAATAAGGTATACATATAATTGAGTAAAATCTGTAAAACTATAGTGGTTGTTTAGTAGTCACTTTAAGCGCTGCATCCACAACCGTTTATCGTTCTGGGGGGTAAAACGTATTCCTTGTTAACGGCGGTCTTGACGTCTTCGCTGACGATTCTTTCCGGTGGTTGGATAGTCTCCACTTGTGAGTAGACCTCCATCTCTCTCCATTCAGGTTGGTCGATGTTCACTTTGGTTTGGTCGGAGATAGGTTCGATTATGTCCACGTTATCGCCAGATTGGGGGCCCAGAGAAATTCGAATCGGACCCTAGCAAGGTTGAGTATCGATTACCTTCACGGTTTCCGATAATTGTGAAGGTGATTGTTGGATGCTGACGGTTTCGTACGGTTGCGATTGGATGTTGAAAGTCTGACCTGGCTTCTGTTGAATGCTCAGCGTTTCAATAGGACTTGATTGCACTACTTGCGGAATTTGGAAGCTCACAGGTTGCGAGCCTGATTGGAAGCTCACAGGTTGTGAGCCGGATTGGAAGCTCACAGGTTGCGAGCCGGATTGGAAGCTCAAGGTCTGAACTTGTGGCTGAGATTGGATGCTGAAGGTTTCAGTTTGAACTTTTTGCGGGAGGCTCAGAACTTGTATCGGTCTTTGAACAGCTGGCCGAACTCCGAACGTTTGAGAAGAGGATTGGAAGTTGTAAGTCTGAGCCGGCTGCGAGGTCGGCACGCTCAGAACTTGAATCGGTTTCGATTGTTGAACACTGTAGGATTGGACGGTTTGCAGTTGCTGAGAAGGAGCGTTTAGGATCTGAAGAGGTTGCTGAACGGATTGGTCGCTGATTATTTGCGACGGGACTTGGAGACCGTAAGAAAGAGTCGGCTTTCGGATGCTTACAGTTTGGGGAGGTTGTTGATAGTTGACGACTTGCAAAGGTATCGAGGACTGCATGTTGACAGTCTTGCTGGGCTGCTGGACGCTGATAGTCTCAGCAGGCGACTGGAAGCCGTAAACTTGAGGACCTGGTCGTAGTTTGTACGTCCGAATGGATGACGGCAAACTGTAACTCTGTACTCCTCCTTGCAAAACTGGTTGACTGACGATCGTCTGTAGTTGAGGAGATCCTCCTTGCATGTTGACAGTTTGGAAACCTTCAGATTCTGAGAAGGACTGGCCTTGCAGATTACTGCTAGACTGAAGCTTCAGGTTCCCAGACGAGGACGTGTACGTAGACTTCTTGGCTCTGCTCTTGTCTTCGCCGTGCAGGCTCTCTTCGAGTTCGTTCTTCAGAGTCTTCTCGAGCCTAGCCGTAGACGCGGCATGGCTCACCGCCAGGCACAGCAGGAGAATCGTGTAACAAGCGATCGGACGCATTTTTCTCTCTCTCTCGTGTCTCACAAGTGACTCGATTGATCGTTTTACTCCAATTGTGACGATCTCTAGACCCGGTCCCGTTTTTAAGGGATTCCGCGGGAACCTCTCGGCACGTTTGATATGGTAATCACTCACGTATCCAGAACACGCGTTACAGCTGATCGTGCGGAATCTCGACGCCACGGAGTCGCTTGTTGACATTGACCATGCCGTTGGACAAGCTGCTTGTTGACTTGTTTGCGTTATCGCTGCGTGACATTGTGCCACCTCGCGTTCTTCATTTATAACATACATACAAATAGTTTATAACGCACGTTCGGACAACTGAAACCTGATCGAGCCTCGTTTCGTTCCTTGCAACACGTAATGCAATCCTCGGTGCAGGTAGAATTCAATGTATTGACGCATGTTAAAATCTCTGACGTCACGAATTATATTCAATGATAAAATAATACGATAAATCATGAATTGTTTGAATTAATCGTTGTACGATTTTCAATCTCTGAAGAGCCGCGCTGGACGTGAGGGAGAATTAAAATTCAAGACAAGAAAGGTGAGATCCGTATCGGGTAACTAGTCGGAAACGCGATCCGTTCTCTAACGAGGAAGACTGAAAAGTGGATCGCGATGAAAGGTCGTGAAAGTGTTAATTAAACGATCGGAAGGAGCCGACCCATCGATACTCCGTAGTTGAAACGCGTAACGCAGTACAGAACCGAAACGGAATCCTGTTCTAAACAAAAGTAGAGGCGGAGGCTTCTCACGGGTGTAATTGGTACGTGTCTGGCAACCGCGGCTTCGCGTTCTAATTAATTACGTACACGCGGTATCGACACACTGCGAATTTAATAACAGTTCCTCCCTTCTACTATTTCCCACGTTTCTCACTCTGTCTAATCTGGATTTCTCAATTTTTATAGAATTCATTTAAAATGTTTTTTTTGACACTCCGGGCGCGAAATTCGGTTTCTCGTGCATGTTTAACGGGCGCAAAATAGCACATTCCCGCCCTAGGGCGGAAAAGACGGAAAATGATATAATTACAACTTCGATGGCTTTTGTTATCGATTAATTTCTCGCCCGGCGTGTCAAAAAATAGTATGTGCACCAGGGCGCAAAGGGCATTCTGTCACTCGTGTGAATTTGTCACCCTCGCTTCGCTTGGGCGAAATTCACACTCGTGCCGGTGCTAGAATGCCCTATTTTGCGCCCTAGGTACACAATGTACTATTTTTTGTTTCTATCTATGAATAGAAATTATTGATTTTCTTATGCAATTTAAGGTGCCGCCAGCCGAGAAAGTCTGGGCGGACACGTACAACTGCTCGCTGGGAGCGCCTTGGGTGAACGTCACGCTTTCGAAGATGTACAAAAACGAGAAGAAACTGTTGTACCCGGTGAACGTAGGTCGGAACATAGCGAGGGAGTCGGCGCCAACGCATTACGTCTTCGCCAGCGACATCGAGCTCTACCCGAGCCCGAATCTACCAGCGAAATTTCTAGAGATGATCCGCAAACGGGATCAGCCGGCTCTTTACAAACCGAACCCGAAGGTGTTCGTGCTGTCGATCTTCGAGGTCGATGAGAAGAACCAGCCGCCGAGCAACAAGACGCGTTTGGTAAGCCGGGGCGAATGAAATCGTTAAACAAGCTGATGTAACGCATAATGGTTCTTATGTCACTGAGTCCATTCACCGTTTGACATTAAAGCTGAACTTGGTAGCGGGCTGTAATTAGACGCGTGCGGAAAGAGTGCGACGCGTCGCTCCTGCATAATGCCTGACAATGCGTTAAATGGCATGAACGCGAGGGTCGTTCAATCAATGACGCTTCCTTTGACCGTGGACCTTGATACCGTACAATTAGCTCCGTGCAGCTGGCCACTGGCCCCAGCCTAGCAAAACGTCTAGCTTCTTTTATTCTCCTGTCTCGTTTCATTAACCATTATGCTATCAGTCGGGATCCGGTTTCATTTAATGAAAGCTTATACGCGACGTCGAAGCCGGAAATATTTTACGATTGTTAAAAAAAAAAAAACAATTCCCAGGTTCAGATGTTGAAAGCGGGCACGGCGATTCCGTTTCATAAAAAGCTGTGCTCCGGCTGCCACAACGTTCCCCGGAGCAAGGAGTGGCAAGAGGCGCCGGAGACCGAGGGTCTTCACGTGTTCCACGTCGGCAAGAGGACTGGCAGTTTCGTGCACTGGGAGCCGATCTTCATCGGGACCAATAACGACCCTCTGTACGACGAGAGGCTCAGCTGGGAAGGCAAGAGCGATAAAATGACGCAGGTGATTTGAAGTTCAAAACGTTCGTTCACCTTTGCAAGAATTCTCTTCTTATCACTTTCCAGTGAAAGTTAAGCCTTGTCGAACTTCCTCTCGGACGGATTATCGGTTCGACTCTTTTCAATTAACGGTCTGGTTAGAAACGGCTGCTAACAAGAGTAAATGAAAATCGGCATTTCACTCGATTTCACTACAGCTGACCCTGTGTTCCTGGTTTCAGGGTTACGCGTTATGTGTGCTCGATTATGACTTCCTGATCCTGGACAACTCGTTCCTGGTACATCGACCGGGTATCAAGATCTTCAAGAAGGACCCGCATAGGGAGATGCTCACGGCGAAGACGAACGCGTTGATCAAAAAGATCATCGTCCCGGAGCTGAAGATTCTTTACGGCACGCGGAAGGGCTGCGCCGTGTAGCCCGTGGCGAAGCGGGCGCGACGCGTGCTCCGCGGTTGTCCTCCGGGCAGGTGGCAGCGGATCGCTCCATCCGACGACCGGTACAGGAACAGTAACCGAAAGCTGGCTGGATCCGCTCGGCCACAGTTTCTCAGAGTTCCCGGGCCGGCCAACCTTCCGATGAACGTTCGTTGCGATCGATAACGGCGCAAAATGAATGCCTCGTTGCTCGATGGATTTTCCTACGACTGGTAGTTCCTGCAGTTCCTCTTCGTTTTCGCGTCGACAGTTCTTTGTTCGCAGTATAAACCTGTCACGGCAGCATACATAAATCAGAATTGGTAAACGTGTCGATCGGACTGACGATAAGAACGTTTCTCTTTTTTATATGTACACGTATCGAGGTCTCTGTTCTCGAGGAAATCGTGTATCGAACAAACATCGCGCGTTAAGATCTATCGGTAGTGTAGCAAAACGCTTTCTGGACGTTTGCACGATGTGTCTCGGCCGATGGTCGACGGACTTAGGATGGACATAATTGTAAATATTTAGCGTTTTAAATACGGTGCCTCGTATGTATACTTGTACATTTACAAGAGTGTGTGCTACGAATACAAATGCATTTTTCCTTTTCTCATTCCGCGGTTTCCACTCGAAACCGGAAACGCAGCCATGCTCGACATGACCTTATAAGTACATGCCAAAAAAAAAAATGGTACACTGCTCAAGTTGGTTCAGGGGCACAGCGTTTTGCGAGGACTCCCAAGATCAAAATCGAATCCTTATTTCTGAACAATTTCATCGACGGTGCGTCACACACTTAAAACCACGTTAAAATATGCTTTCGTTTAACGATTTAGTTTATTAACGCGGAGAAAATGAATGAATTACTCTCCCAAGACTGAGGAACATTTGATAACAGTTTGTTAGAACGTTTAATCCTAACGGACGTGTTATTAGTTACGTGTTCGTACTTTATTCCGCTTGGCAAATTGAATTGGTGCTTCCAACGCTCTAGGGTTCGTGAAACGGATTAATTAGAGGGTAAAAGAAAGCCGATGATCATGATGGACGTCGTCATCGTCTCTGTATCGTTTCCCACGAAATCGTGCAAGATCCGTTTCGTAACTGTACATTATGTGCTAATACTTTTACCGGATAATTACTGAAAAGAGTTCTCCGCACGGAACACGTTCAAGAGAGAGAGTAAGACAGTTCTTATGCAATTATCTCGCGGTGTCATAACGTGATATAATTCTAGAACGGCATCGATCAAAATTGTAGAAATTATTTCTAATAATTGAGAAAGACTTGATTTCCGTTTTCGTCCTCGAGCGGGACGGTGTCGTTCCGAGATTTAATCGAAGCATCCCCCGTTAAAAGCCGTGTAAAATCGCGTATGTAAATACCCCTATTACCTCTAAGCGTTTAGAATAAGTATTCGTAAATGGTACTACTTTTTACACGATTAGTCACTACGAACGGGCAAAGAACGTTGAAATTCTAAAGGCAGGCACGTTACGCCTCCGGATTTTTCTAAGCCATTTCATCGTTTACAAATATTGTACATTTGAATATTTTACGGAGATAGTATAATAAAAAGATATATTTAATTTTGCTATTCGTCGAGAATCAAATTTTCGAGAACGATTTAGTTATAGTATTTATACTTTCATTCTTTCAATGGATGCCATTCTTTGATGTTAATTTAGACAGTAATTTAAAAAAGTATTCTATTTTCAGAGATAATATGATTAGAATTATTTAATCGTGCAATTTATTTTTTTTTAAATGGACAATTGGCAGGTATGATAGTAAATGAGTGAGATAATAAAGTCTGTGTACATAACGTCGTTAAGGGTACTTTCGTTAGCTCAGGAGATGAACAAACTTAATTAATAGTATTTTGTAAAAATGCCAATGGGAGTACCCTTGACGATCATACAACATGCACACACTTACCACTTGTACGTGTATTTGCACATTTTTTTTTTTACCACCCCGAAACATCTTTCTCAGAATTAAAATGATTACGAAATGTGAGACGACATGTTCCTTTGATGAAACGTGTTATACTTTTCTTAATCGCAGGAAGTGTATTAATTATTTAATTACTCAGTAACGAAAAATTGCATTGTTCCGAGTTTTGTCATTTCTGACGTACAAGTGCGGTCTGTATTCTGTGCCTTATCGTAATTGACTCTCGAGAGTGTCTCTTTAAACCGGAGGAATGTTGAGTGGGGTCGTTGGTCATAATAATAAAATTTCACAGCGTAGAATTAATATTACGATTCGTTTCAAATATAAATGCTTTGAGGAGTTTGTTATTATGATTGACACGCGGAGCAGATTAAATCCGATAAGAAAGTTCGCTATTATTTTAATTAGACATTCGATTGTTGTACACTGAATCTCTTTCGACTGCGCACCAAAGGAAAACAGTGTCAGACTGAAAAGAGATTAGGAGAATAAAATTCTACGTGTTACGAATAGTCAATGATAAAAAGTCTTCTGTGTCAATACATTGCTAATGTGTTAACTTTTAAGTACCCTTAGTGGAACTTTTCATTATAGCCAATTGAATTCATTCTAATAACAGTCAATACGTAATCCAATTTTTTAAACCGTTTAACTAATGAAAGTTGAAGTAATCAAAAGGAATTTCTATACTGTTCGTTAAATGAAAGTTTTTCATCGTAATTTAAAGTGTATCTAATAAAAGTTTAGGTTTACAACTTTCAGTATTATCTCGTAACTTTTATAAATTTTCAATGTTCTATCTCTGGGTGGAATGAATAAACAAAAAAAAAAAAAAAACAACTGTACGCACTTTCCGTTAGATGCAACAAAAGCATGTACGATAAATTCTTGTAAGAAACAATGTTCTATCGCTTCTCGCATTTCTCTTTACATTGCCGACCGTCGATCGACGGCTCGAAACAAAAGGAAAGTAATTATTAATTGATACATAAGTTCAATCAAATATACCGAGCATGTACATTGTGTATGATACATAAAAATGTTTAAACGTTATATATATGTATATGAGCTAAGTAATAATTGTGAAAATGCCTATGGCCGTCATTTAATTACGTGAAAATGAAACCCGACTTAACTGTGTCTCTGTATATATGTAAAGTTGTATTTTTTCAAATAACAGCATAGAAAAATAAAACAAAGTGGTTTTCAATAAAAATTCACTTTTATCTCGACTCCGTGTTTCACTGATTAAACGTTTCACAGCAAACTAGCACTCCAGGGGTTTCGCAGACAGGAAAACGTTCACCTCCCTAAGAACATTTGTATATTCAGTTTATTTTAATTAAAATATACAGCTTTAAAACGTGATCACACATTTGTTCGAGTTCGCCTCTCCTCAACCTGAGATAAACCACCATATATAGAATTCATCGTCCGCACCTGCCACAAATCTCATCGTTCCATCTCTCTCTTCTCTCTCTTCTTAATTATTTCCACTCACAGAAAATACTTACTCTCATCCCCTGTCTGTCCTTCTATTTTCTTTTCACTCTCACGTCCTACGTAAATCTAGAAGCGCAACCAGACAAACGCTTCTTCCCCCACGTCCACTCCTACAATCTCTTCTCCCTTCCTCTATATGTACGTATATAATTTCTCGTGTATATAAATAAACGCTAGCAAAGATTTTATTTATTTGTTCCTACGATGATTATCATCTACAATTTCCGTTTATCTACATGCGTTCACGGTGAATCCATCCAATCGGACGAGCTGACACCTCCTCCTCTTCATCGATTCATGTACCGTTCGATTTTATTTCATTTCTTTATACAATTGTCCGTGTCTCAGTTATTATTTCCTGACCGACGGAAATAAAAGTCGTCCCGATCTCGTAGATCCGCTCTTTTCATCTTACATATGTATGTATATATACTCGGTGTCTATATATACTTACATACATACTCATATATTCATATGTATAGTACCAATTTGATCGCATGCACCAAGAAGAAACAATTTTATATAATATATATATCTATACACATAAGTTTTTTTTTTCACAAATTACATATTTGGTCTTCTCTAACGCAAGACTGAAGAAATCTTCTTGGTCCATGGTACATGAATACACTTTCTACATACATACATACATACATACATACATATATATTTTATATACATAAATGGTAACTATTGTAGGCACGTGTCAAAAATTTTTCTTTCTCTCTCTCTTTCTCTCATATACTTTTAGATATAATTATGTATCCCAGCACTGTCTATGATGAAACGTAAACGTATAAAAATATTCGTAAACTGTATAAACCTTTCGTTTTGTTTCCAAGCATGCACAGCTAATCGACCTCGTACAAAACATATTCGAACATCAGCTAAGCTAGCTCGAAGGTTGCTAAATAAAATATCATCGATGATTTGTTGAACGCAAAATAAAATTTGTTCCCTTTTTCTCAATAACGATTCGCAACTAGGCGTTTTAACAACTAAATTAGCAGTGAAGTACGTTCCGCGTTTTTCCCCTCACGAATTTTCGAATCGCCTTTTCGAGAAGAAAATAAATTAAATTAAATTTGTATTAAGCGATTCTATAATCCAAATCAACGTTTGTTAATTCTTGCCAACTGTTTTAAGTATAATTCTACAGTTTTCTAATCGCATTATAGACAGTCATTTTGTGTACCATCTTGTTGACGGCAGAACAATGGCCAGACAGAAACGACGAACGATTCTTAAATGCTTATTTATAATCGCGAGCCTTCAGTTTCGAAGACTCATTATACTTTGTGCTGCCTTGGTATAAAGTTGAATATCAAAATTTAATGATTAATTATACTCAGAGTCGTTCGACGAAATCCTGAGTGGCCGCCCCCGCTCTCGGCCAAAGCGGGTTTACCGTGATTACGTACCTACGTACTATAATAATTATAATAATAATAATAATAATAATAATAATAATAATCCTTTTCAAACCTCATTGTAAGCAAATTGCATTCTCTTTAACGGCTCGTTAAACCCTTTAAGAAGTGATCTCCCTCGCAGGAGACTGCAACGCTTAAAGGAATCATTGGAAAATGAAAAAGAAAAGAGACATACGCACATACTTACGATTTTTCCAATACAGACGTTCCACATGTTTTTCCTGTCTCTCACATGCACGCAGTTCACATACACACTTTATACATATGTTCACTTGATTCATTTCTTCTAACTCTTCCCTCTTCTTTAATTAACTATGTAGTTACACATTAGAAAGCATAAAATAATGGAAGGAGTCTTTTCAATATTCTGTTTTGACCACAGATCTTTACGCAAAATCCGTCTCGCTTTTTTTTTCATGTCGATGCATAAAAATCTGTGGCCTGACTCGTTATTAAGGGCGTGAATAAATGTGATTAGATCGTTTGAATCACATTAACTGCGGCGCAGCATGGTATCTGAGTTTTCATGAAGAATGAGACATCGATTTGTTTAAACTAAAACACTGTGTTGGATCGTGGAACGATTGCACATCTTCGATTATTCGTATTCGAGTCAAAACTTATTAGGCGTGATGAACAAAAATAAATTGTGTTAAGTCCAAATAAAAAATAAATAAAAATCTATATTGTATCGTATCTTTGCTAAATCATTCAACTTAAGGATTTCGCCGTTGCTCTGATTGGTTTGTCCATTGCTTTTCTAATGTAAAGGTAATTGTTGTTCGTTCCGTAAAATGCGAACATAATTTGAAAAAACGATAACTATCTCGGTAAGTCGAGAGAATATTTTGTGCGACACCGAAATACTGGTAAAAATATTGAATCGTGCTAAAACAAATGAAATTTTGTTCTCGTAACTGATTAAGTTTAAACAATCGTTTCGGTGTCGAGTAAAATTAAAATGCAATCGTATGTAGTTCCGACTGTCCGTTCGTAACTTTCGTAAGGCGAGACGCAAGGTAATGAAGGTAAGAGGGTAAGAAATGATACCCTGTGTACGCTTTAACAAATAGTAAACGAAGCCGTCTTACCTCATTTTCCAAGCCGTTTAATGCGGGACCGCGTGCTCAACGACCGGGCGCTCGGTTTGTACGGCGACTTGACCCTCTTCGCCATAGCGGAACTAGCGTTACACCCCGGGTTCGTGATCGTGGAGCACGCACCGTTCCCGGTATTGTTATTACTTTCCTTAATACCTGATGACAACGAGGTCGACCTGACTCTACTCGATTGTAGAAAACCATTCCCGCCGGACTGCTTCAGTTTGCCCGGCAAAGAGAGGCGGCTCTGCTTCACTATCCCGTACTGGTGTACTAATTGCGCGGATATCGTGTGGCCAGTTATATCCACATTACGCGAACGGAGTGTTTTTACAGGTGTCGCAGCGATGGTGTCCGACCTGACAAACACAAACATAAACACTGTTGAGACACCTTCCGCGAATAATGAGTCGCTATATCAAAGTTATATTAAATTATCAGAAATTTATTGCGATACTTTTTTTTATTCTATCACTTTTTTAATAATGAATTCAAGTGTGAATTTGTAACTAACCTGAGCCATCGTTGGGGAACAGTCGTATTCTCCGAGGAGCCGATGAGGGCGACATTCCTACTGATCCTCCGCTCGTTGCAATTACTAGATCGGTTCTCTCTCGTGCCAAGAGTACAAGCCCACAATTGTTTCTTTGCCCACCACTCGATCGATGGTCTTCGAATTGTTTTCACCGGCGTGGCTTTCTTGCCTAGGTTCTTTTGATAAATGTTCAACGTGGGTAGCCTCTCCTGGACAGGTACGGGTGTCGAACCTGTCGTGGACCTGGACTCCGTTCCGTTAGGCCAACTCGGAGTGCCGCCAGCGTCCTTCGTGCTCTGGTTCACCGGGTCGTTTTCATCGACCGGGTTCGGCTGATCTTCCGATCGAGTCTTCCTCTTCACGCAGGGTTCTTGTAACGAGCAAGGGGACTCTTCCGTCGCGTTCGCCACCGTCTGCGTTATCGCGCTGTGCCTTCGTTTGTTATTAACGCTCGTCGAAGAGTTTATCACAGTCTCATCCGCGGCGGTAATTTTCGCGCTACGCGACTTCAGCCGGGAGTTCACGTACGTCTTCGTGGTGCTCTCTAAAGAATTACTCGCAGACAGGCTATGCCTCCTTCTCGCGCTATGGACCTCCGTCGTCCTAGCGGTGGAGAACAACGTAGACTGTTTGTGTCGCAACCCGTTCACCACGGTGGATTTCACTTCGTTCTCGTCGCAACCGACCCCGTCGCCCTCCGCGCAATCGGTTACGTCACATTCACTAGAAAATGCACTTTGGTGTATCACACTCGAGTCGCCAGGGTCATTCGCACCGATTTCATTTTCTTCCGAGACGTCCGATTCAATCATTAAAGTAATTTCGTCTTCCGTCGTCGAAGTATCTTCTTTCGCCTCTTCGATATTCTCAGTACTCGTACTATCGGTTTCCATTGCACTGTTTTCTAATTCATTAGTCGATGTGTTCGCGAGCTCTAAATCTTCCACTGTCGAAGTCTCGTTTTCATTCATGTGCGTCTCTTCGATTTGATTCTGTTCTATACTCTCAACAGGTATTGGTTCTAAAGTCGGTTCTTTCGCAGTCTCCTCGAGCTCTTCCGGGAATTCTGTTCTGTTTGCGAGAAGGTGCCCACTTATTATAGGCGAAGCAGGATTTGGAACCAGAGGAAAATTGTTACGCTTCTCTGGATTCTCCACCGACACCGGTGCAGGAGTGTGGATCGTATGATGCGTTACGACGCACTCCTTCTGGCTGAGTAAAATCTGTTTGAAAAGACGAATTCGCTTAGCAATTTGACTAATCGTAAACAAATCGCGGCAGATAAATTCGAGCTGATGGAGGTCAACGTACCTCGCTGCGAGATGGACCTGGCGGATCCAACATCAACGTGACAACGCTCGTGTTATCCGCGCGCAGCCTCTTCGATGACCATTTCTCCAACGCTCTGTCCACCAGGCTCTTCGACGGGTTTATCCATAGCTGAACATTATCAGTTTGCTGTTTAAAACACTAATTAGAAACGAAAACGTGGACGTGCACAATTGAAAATGTTATGAAAAGACGTACCCCGTTGCATGTTTGCTGAGCAATTAGATGTTTCTCGTTGTGCCTATCCGCGGCTTGGACAATAGCCACTGCCGCCTGCGGTGTTAACATGTTCCACAGGCCGTCCGTTCCAAAAATAAGGCAACGATGCGATTCCACGTCGATCGCTACCACTTTTACATCCGGTTCCGGCGAGACGACGAACGTGTCCAACTCAGAGTTGTAACTCCAAAGATCGCCTGCGACACGAAATGAGAAACTGATCGAATCTATTCGTTAGGAGTCGAATAAAAGGAGTATAGATCGTTGTTTTACCTAAAGATCTAGCAACAGCGAGGAAAGGAATCTCGTCTATGTGAGTCGACCTCCTGACCGGTCCCTTGTGCCCGATGCGAGGTCTGTTCCATACGACTCTTGGAACGCCGGATTTGCTGACTACTTTCCCCCCGGATTCGCGTATCCTGTTCATCTCGGGCCCGCTCTCCGGCTTGTGGTCCTTGGTCAAAGCTTTGGCACGCCACTGCGGATCGCCGTCCACTTGGTAGCCCAAAATAATCCCGGAGTCGCCTACGTGGCCAATGTAAATCTTCCCCTTGCGAATGAACGCTATGCTAGCCGTAGTTCCAGCTGTAGAAGGCAATCCCGAGGCTGTTCTCGGCCACTTCTCTGTTCCAGAAAAAGAACCCCGTGAAAACCATCGTTTGCTAAAATTCCGTCGGCGCGATCCACGTTCAACGGTGACCCGATTGAAACTGAACGAATCGACTGAGCAGGAACGACGGGGTCGAATATTTTCTCTCAACTACTGATATTAGGAGCTCGGGCCGTAGGTTAGCTCTTGGATTACATAACCTAAATTCTAACCTAATCGGAGACGGATGGTGGGGGGAAAACGCGGGACAATGTGGGAAATTCCTGATCGGACAACAAATAAACTAATTTTTTACGAAGACAATCTCGTGTAGCGATAACGTTTGGCGGGAAATGCGCGGGAACGGTCGGGATCGAATAGAATAACGATGGTGGGCGAACACCCACCGAGCTCCCGCCACATCGCGTAGTGCGTGTGCACGTATCCTTCCTTGATCGCCCTGAGCACGTCCTCGTCGCGGTCACTCCAGAAGTTCTTCTGTTTCACAATCACGTTCATCAGATGCTCCTTGGCGAAGATAGCCGCCTCGCCGCCTCCGTGTCCATCGAATATCCCGAAGAACGCGTACTCGAGGTCCTTGTCATCCGGTGTCGACTGAAAGGCCACGCTGAACATGTCCTCCATGTACTTGCGACCGCCCTGATTACAGTGCCCGGTCACTCTTAGGTTAACCCCGATACTCAACGGCATGATGATGGATCAACGCCGATGGCACGGGAAACGCCGAAACTCGGTTATCCGCACTGTGTTCGCTCTAACTACGCACTCGGCTCGCGGGACACGTATACACGGGGAACGGAAGCCTCGTATTTACTGGGCAGGTCTGAACGCGTAGCTCGAGGGACGCACACACACACGGCCGGCCCCACACGGTCACGGGTGACGTTGCCAGGAACGGAGCGGGACAGGAGAGGGTCCGTCCCCTCTACGATTTCACCGTCGCACAGCAGCAGCGCGTATATACAACGTTTCTCGAGAATCTTCAAAACGGAAGAGCGCCCGACGGAACCACCGCGTATTCCCGGGTATATTTTCTTTCATCTAACCTCCAAAGCTCGTTCCAGCCTTACGCGCGCGGTTCTCCAGTTATTTTCGTTACGCACGCAGCTTCCTCCGAGGTGTTCCAAATTTTTCAGTCGAGCATCTATAAGACGAGTCGTAAGATTTTTACTCTTACAATTAGGAGAATTTGAAGAGTACGGGATCTTATCGCGAGATTAGAAAGCTAATGCTTTTTACTTTAATGTCCCTCGGTTTAAAGTCTTTATCAGCTTAGCGAGGACGTAGCAAAACGTATAGTTTTAAATTCGAAGCGCGTTGAAAACTGATCGCGGTTCGTTTTTATTATTCCGCGACTGTATGCGCGCAAGCCCGCGCGTGTATAGAGGCTACGTAGGTACGTGCATGTGGCCGCGATCAAAATTTTCAAACTCGAGAGAAGGGGTTTTGAATCGATAGATTCGCGCGCGGAATGAGCTCGCCCGCGGGAGTACGCAATAACAACGCGTTATCAACGCGGATACTGCGAGTGTTTTGCAAGATAACTATGCGATACTGCCGCTAGTTCGATTTCGATCGAGCCGAGCACGTAGCAGGCTCGGCGACGGTGCTGGCTCGTTCGATAATCGCGATTTGCCGCGGTTCGAATCTAAACCGGGAAACTTGTGCCAACAAGCGAAATTTCCCAAAAGTCTCCGTAAGCAGCGACCCGGTAACGTTACCTCGGTTATATTACCCACACCGACGATCGCCACACGCAGACCGTATCGTGTTACCCCCTCGCGTTTCCCCGTTTCCCGCCCATCCCCGTCGCCGTGGAAACTTTTACCCCGTCCCTGTCCCCTCGAACGCCTGACAACGGGCCGGCCCATCAACGTCGACGGCCATCAGGACAGTATTAAACCAGGGAACCGAACGGGGCCCAGGGCCTGGTTATTAAACGGGACTAGTTTCTCAAACTAAAAAGCTAACCCCGTAATCTGCGCTCTCTCATGAACTCGCTATGTACACGTTACGACAAAAACTAGTGATTCAGGCGTCTCTGAATCTCGCATTGCGATCAATTTCCGTAACATCGAGCGCCAGCGAGATATGAAACTTATCTCGTAATCGTCGGTACTGCTAATCTTTATAACGTAGCGGCGTTCGGCAAACACGGTGAAGTTCCAACGACTGGTTAAGATGAAAAGTGTACACGCGTAGAAACGCAGAAATGCTAAGTGAACGGGTGTATGTACACTCGGTAGGCTGCCCGTAAGAGAATCTTTATCGTCTTCCGTCTGTTAGCATGAATGTTTAGCGCAAAACAGACTGGGAAAGGGAAGGTTAAGAGCCTGTAATAACTTTACTCGCAAGAAACCTAACCAGGTATCGCGAAACCTTAGTCCAGACCTGGGTGCTATTCATGCCGCGCATCTCGGCTCACGCAGTTCCATCGTTGTCACGTCTGCGGCGAGGAACCCGAACTTTCATGCACGAGCTTGTCCACGAGAAATTCTTTAGAAAACCGCAGTTCCGATCGAAAACCCAACAAAACCATAGGTAGCTTCCGCTTCTATCACCCTCCCATGGCCATTTGTCTTGATACGAAATGAGTTTGCGCTGGAACCTGGAACGATGGACAGAATAATTAAGTATGTGTTATTCCGATCTTTCTTGGATTTAAGTAACTTTTGTCGTGTTCGTACATCGAGTTTTGAATAATCTGAATCTGTGATGCGTCAATCGAACGATGGGGCAATGAGAAACAGTTCCCTCTTTCTCCCTCTTTTTTTTTTACCAGCGGGAAAATCCAGGAGTGAATCAAGTGGAAAGCAAACATTCTGTTTCGCCAGTCGATGCAGTTATCTCTCTCCGGGGGCAAAACACAGGACACGTGTTTGGACTTGCTCACCCGGGAGATGTGGCAACCCAGCGTTCCGTTCAAAATAGCACTCCCAGCTGGCGGCTTTCGCTTAACATCCGAGAGGCCACGGTTCGATGGGGATGGATTCGATTCAACGTATCTAAAGCAGATCCCATTCCGTTGAATTTTCGTTCGCCGATTTGATTCATCGCGGAGAAACGTCGAGGGATGAATTGGCGATCGTAAAAATGATTCCAACGATACGGTCGATACTTCTCACCGATTGCATCATCTCCTGAAAAAAGACGGCTGTCCCTTTCCGTTCTCGAACAGTTATACGGAAACGTGTCGATTACCGAGATATTTTCTTTTCATCTCTAATATCCATTATCTCTGGAAGTCGTAAATGAAGAAATAATTACCGAGCAGTGAACTCGTCGCCGTGTCTTAATTGGATAATAAAATTGTACGAATTATTTTTAAACGGGAACTACTAAACGGTAACCGTACCGCCATCTACCGGAGGTTCGAGAATTAAGCTGCGCGTTTAAATCTATATTTAAAAATAGAACGTTTCAAATTAAATTTCGCAACAGAGAATTAATACGTAAAACTTCCTTAATTACAAGATCGAAACCTTCAATATTATATTTGTCCAAGTGTCTAAATTAGGGTCGATGACCCATCGTTTAAAAATGCGAGGCTGCTTTCGCAGAAGGGTCTTACTTAAATCAGATTCCGATGCGTCAGTTCCCATGATTCAGACTCGACTATTCTCTTCGGGAACAAGTCGGTGCAGGTTCGAACCTGCAGCTAGCCGGATACCTGCCTGACGACATCTCGGTAACAGCGCGTTACCAAGCGGAGTGCATCGAATACTGCAAGGAAGATTATGCGATGACGCACCAATAGAAGTGTCTCATTTCAAAAGTGTCATTCAATTCGCCTGTCTGCGTTCATTCATAATTGTACCATCTAAACGTGTTATCTCCGATCGTTTCTAATTTTTCATACCTCTTCGTAGATACAGACGTTGCATTTCATTGTTTTCACTACCTGCGGTGACACTGGCAGTGCCAAAGCACCTTTCTTTCTTTATTATTCTTCTGTTAAATAGATATACTAGACTATATTATATTATTTCTAACAATTTTTTCGACTCCTGTTAAATAATCATAAGGTAAAGTTTGATTTCTAGACGTAGCTTGCGTTTTGTCAAACCTAGATTCCTACATATTTATTTCGATTCATTCGTAACTTCCAGCAGACATAACGTAATTTTATTTTCAGTAACATTATATGAATATTCATGAACAATTTAATTTATGATTGGAATAGTTAAGGAATTGTAAATGGATGATAAACGAGTAT